CCCTCCTCTCCTCTCCTCATCTCCTCCTCTCATTCTCTCCTCCCCTCCTCTCCTCTCATCATCTCCTCCTCTCCTCTCATCATCTCCTCCTCTCATTCTCTCCTCTCCTCTCATCATCTCATCATCTCCTCCTCTCATTCTCTCCTCTCCTCCTCTCCTCTCATCATCTCCTCCTCTCCTCTCATCATCTCATTCTCTCCTCTCATCATATCCTCCTCTCCTCTCATTCTCTTCTCTCCTCTCATCATCTCCTTCTCTCCTCTCCTCTCCTCTCCTATCCTCTTCTCTTCTCTTTTCTTCTCTCCTCTCCTTGTCTCCTCTCATCTCTCCTCCTCTCCTCTCCACTTCTCTTCTCTCCTCTCCCCTCCTCCTCTTCTCTTCTTTTCCTCTCCACTCCTCTCCTCTCCTCCTCTCCTCTCCTATCCTCTCATCCTCTCCTCTTCTTTTCTCCTCTTCTTGTCTCTTCTCTCTCCTCTTCTCTCCTGTCCTCATCCTGTCCTTGTCTCCTCTCCTCGTCTCTTCTCTTCTCTCCTCTCCTCCTCTTCTCTTCTCTCCCCTCCTCCTCTCCTCTCATCCTTTCCTCTCCTTCTCTCCTCTCCTCTCCTTGTCTCCTCTCTCCTCTCCTCCACTCCTCTTCTTTTCTCCTCTCCTCTTCTCGTCTCATCTCTCATCCTCTCCTCTCTTCTCCTCTCCCCTCCTCCTCTCCTCTCTTCTCCTCTCCCCTCCTCCTCTCCTCTCCTCCTCTTCTCTTCTCTCCCCTCCTCCTCTCCTCTCATCCTTTCCTCTCCTTCTCTCCTCTCCTCTCCTTGTCTCCTCTCTCCTCTCCTCCACTCCTCTTCTTTTCTCCTCTCCTCTTCTCGTCTCATCTCTCATCCTCTCCTCTCTTCTCCTCTCCCCTCCTCCTCTCCTCTCTTCTCCTCTCCCCTCCTCCTCTCCTCTCCTCCTCTTCTCTTCTCTCCCCTCCTCCTCTCCTCTCATCCTCTCCTCTCCTTCTCTCCTCTCCTCTCCTTGTCTCCTCTCTCCTCTCCTCCACTCCTCTTCTTTTCTCCTCTCCTCTTCTCGTCTCATCTCTCATCCTCTCCTCTCTTCTCCTCTCCCCTCCTCCTCTCCTCTCTTCTCCTCTCCCCTCCTCCTCTCCTCTCCTCCTCTTCTCTTCTCTCCCCTCCTCCTCTCCTCTCATCCTCTCCTCTCCTTCTCTCCTCTCCTCTCCTTGTCTCCTCTCTCCTCTCCTCCTCTCCTCTTCTTTTCTCCTCTCCTCTTCTCGTCTCATCTTTCATCCTCTCCTCTCCTTGTCTCCTCTCATCTCTTCTCCTCGGTCTCTCTCCTCCTCTCCTTCTCTCCTCTCCTCCTCTTCTCTTCTCTTCTCTTCTCTTCTCTTCTCTTCTCTCCTCTTCTCTCCCACCATCTCCTCTCCCCTCCTCCTCTCCTCTCCTCTCCTTCTCTCCTCTCCTCCTCTCCTCTCAGCCTCTCCTCTCCTTCTCTCCTCTCCTCCTCTCCTCTCAGCCTCTCCTCTCCTTCTCTCCTCTCCTCCTCTCCTCTCAGCCTCTCCTCTCCTTCTCTCCTCTCCTCCTCTCCTCTCAGCCTCTCCTCTCCTTCTCTCCTCTCCTCCTCTTCTCTTCTCTTCTCTTCTCTTCTCTTCTCTCCTCTCCTCTTCTCTCCCACCATCTCCTCTCCCCTCCTCCTCTCCTCTCCTCTCTTCTCCTCTCCCCTCCTCCTCTCCTCTTCTCTTCTCTCCCCTCGTCTCCTGTCTTCTCCCCTCCTCTCCTATCCTCTCCTTCTCTTCTCCTCTTCTCCTCTTCTCCTCTCCTCTCCCCTCTTCTCTTCTCTTCTCTTCTGTCTCTGGTTGACACGTGCTCTTCCTCTGGCTCTGCTCTCATTCCTCAGATGGCTTGTGTACGGTGGTCTACTTTGATGACTGCGTGTCCATCCGTCAGTGTAAGCAGTACTGCGAGTCGATGGGTGGATCAAAGTACCGCTGGTTTCATAACGCCTGCTGTGAGTGCATTGGCCCTGAATGTCTGGACTACGGCAGCAAAGCCGTCAAATGCATGAACTGCCTCATCTGAGAGCCCAAAACTGACTTCATACACTTCATCTGCTGTTTTATTGTATAAAACACGTCTGATCCGATCTACAGATCTTGTTTCTTATTCTTGTCTTTTGGAAAATAAGGTCAAGGGTGTTTTTTGTAAGTTATCGATATTGTTTGGGAATTATTACAGCAGCATGTAGAGGACATTTCTCATTCAAATCATATTCCATCTGTATATAGTTCTCATTTCATATTCATATGTCTGGTTTCATTAATAAAAAGTAAACTGTTGTGTTTGATTTTCAAAATATTTTACTCATGTTTAAGGTTTTGGTCCCCTGATCTGGTATTTGATGATTTGAAATGAAAAAAGAGATTTCATCTGTATTTGAATAGAGTTTGATTGAAGTGTTTGAGTTAAACGTTTTTCCAAATGTCAAACAACATGAATTGTATTTTATTCAAAGTTGAATGAAGAGTAATCAAAATGTAGGTTAAAATATACTTTACCTGCATATAAATAACAGAATGTAATATAAATAATAGAATATTCATTTAAAGTTATCTGGCCTTCAATAATGTTCTCAGAACGTTAGCATAAAAACGTTATTTGTACATTGTTTCATAGAACATCTTTCTTCTAAAATGTTTTAGTTGAACATTTGTGTAACTTTTTTTTTAAATTGTTACTTGTTTTGGAATGTTCAGGGAACATTCAAAAGTAACATTTCTGTATTGTTTGCAAAATTATAAAATGGAATGTTGGCTTAACATTTGTATAACAAAGAAGAAACGTTTTTAAAACTTTAAAAAAGGACATTTAGAAAGCATTCACAAAACGTTTACATAACATAATGGCAAATCTTCTTAGAACATATGTGGTTAACTGAGAGACTTCAAAAATAGTTTGCAATTTTTCACTATTTTTTGAAACATTTTGCATTTCACTTTTTAAAATATATTTTTAAGCAGTAGTTTGTTTCGGGATGTTGTATTGTCTGTGCTGAGCTCCCTCACCGCAGCGCTCGTCTCTGACAAACTCTGAATGCAAGTTGGCATAAATGCATGATGACAGCCAGATGTAGTCAGCATCAGTCAGACCTCATTCATTCATTTAAAGTTATCTGGCCTTCAATAATGTTCTCAGAACGTTAGCATAAAAACGTTATTTGTACATTGTTTCATAGAACATCTTTCTTCTAAAATGTTTTAGTTGAACATTTGTGTAACTTTTTTTTTAAATTGTTACTTGTTTTGGAATGTTCAGGGAACATTCAAAAGTAACATTTCTGTATTGTTTGCAAAATTATAAAATGGAATGTTGGCTTAACATTTGTATAACAAAGAAGAAACGTTTTTAAAACTTTAAAAAAGGACATTTAGAAAGCATTCACAAAACGTTTACATAACATAATGGCAAATCTTCTTAGAACATATGTGGTTAACTGAGAGACTTCAAAAATAGTTTGCAATTTTTCACTATTTTTTGAAACATTTTGCATTTCACTTTTTAAAATATATTTTTAAGCAGTAGTTTGTTTAGGGATGTTGTATTGTCTGTGCTGAACTCCCTCACCGCAGCGCTCGTCTCTGACAAACTCTGAATGCAAGTTGGCATAAATGCATGATGACAGCCAGATGTAGTCAGCATCAGTCAGACCTCATTCACAGCACAGCTGACAGGTGTGTGTGTGTGTGTGTGTGCGTGTGTGTGTGTGTGTGTGACCTCAAAGACTATTTGTTTGCATTAAGACACACTTTTACTGTTCTTGCTTTAAAAACATTAATCGTGTGTCATATTTTTGAAGTTTCAGTAATGCTTCAAAATACAGGTTGGGTTTAAATTACTGCTTGAGTTTTTTGTGTCTGAAAATGATTAAACTGAAAATCAGTGTTTTAGGATCATTGAGACACTTATAGGCTACATTTTATTCATATATATATATATATATATACAATTTTTGTTTAGGTTTGATTTTAGTTAAAAGTTAATGATATTTTAAATATGTATATGTCATTTTCATTTCAGTTTTAGTCATTTTAATACATCAAGTTACGCAAAATAAAAATAAGAAATGTTGCAACTAGCTGAAGTTAATTTTTTGGTATTTTATTTTATTCCAGTTAACGTTTATATTATATCAAGTAATAAAAAGTTTCAGTTTAGTGTTTTAGTTTTAGTTAAATACATTAACCTTGAACTGAATGAAATTATTGATGTTTTATTTTATTGTTCATTTTCATACATCATTTTTAATTTCAAAAGGATCTAAAACTAATTGAGGCCTATATGCTTCATTGACTTAGAGATCTTGCATTTCAATATTTTTCACTAAAGAAGGAGATCTTGTGTTATTGAATTGGTAATATTTGCGTTTCTGAATGGTTGTAAGTGCTTTAGCACCATCTGCAGGATGATAATGGCATTACACACATTCATAACAAAAGATCTTTTTACGAATACATATAAATTAATACAGTATATGAATACAGTTCTTTGCTTTAAATGGTTAAATGGATCTGCTTAGAGTTTATAATGGCTGGAAATACATTTCTTTCTCCATTAGGTGTCGCTTATTTATTTTCTGTTGTGCAGTAAGATAAGTTTTTAATTTAATTGTTTTAACCATGGTTAAAAAGTGGTTAATAAATAAATAAATGTTCGTGTATAAAATAAGTGAACAAAAAATATATATTTAATCTGCATTATCTAAAAAACTAGCCTGTCCTATGGAAGTTTATATTGTTTCAAGGGTGTTTTATTTATACTGTAAAACATTCTGATTTGAAGACCTTTTTTTGCAACATGTGTGTTTTTTCCAAAACGCGTTCCGTCGTCCGTTCGTACTAATTCTTGTTCCGTCCGGGCTTCCGTACTTTGCCTCGTTCTCGCTCTCAGTCGGACCTGCTGCAACGAAGATGGCGGAAGCTCCCCCGCGGCCCTGCCGGTTCTTCTGCCACCGGTGTTCGGAAGAGATCAGCCCTCGGCTCCCGGTAAGACGCCGCTGTCTTAACGAGCCTCTCCCGAAGGCTTTGAATCGGTATGAATGCGTGTAACGGAGCAAACGGCCTCTTTTCTCACGCGTTTCTCCGCGCTCTCTGTGCTAACGGCTAACAGGCTGCTGGTTGCCAATAGCAACACTCAGGCTTAAAATGAGGATTTAATCGAGTTACACTTAATTGGAGAGGTGAGAGTTTAATCAGACGGACTCTTGGCAGGTTAAAGAGTTTTCCAGAGTGTAATATCAAACCTAAAGACTGCTTGTTATGGCATCAACTCGGTATTGTCACTAACTAGTCGTCGCGAATCACATAATATTGACATGAGGACACTTAGTTAGAATCTTGTCAGATGTGTCTGGTTCGTGTTTCATAAGTGGTTCAGTTGTCTGATCTGTAGATCATGTGGTTTACTTGGTCGAAACAGAGAACTAGTTATGAATGCAGCTGGGTAACTAGTTACGTTGTTTATTCAATAGTGTGCAATTAATACCGTTTGCTATAAAGTTTGAGATGCATTGTTCATATAGCCCTGGTGTTTGTGTCTGATCTGTCTTGTCATGTAGTTTAGTTGGCTATAACTGAAAACTGGTGGTTATTAGAGACCAACTAGTTAGATTTGATTAACTTATAAGAGACTGATGAATTCCAGTGCTTATAAGTTGGTTAGATGCTGAGGTTTGTCTTTAGTGTTTTTGATATATTATTGGTTGGAACAGTTGGCTGGTGGTTAAGTGGTTAGCTGGTTAGTTTCTGTGTTTTTAACTAGACCTTAACTAGACCTCATTATAGTGTGTATGGTCCAAGTTAGATTTTCTGTGTTTAGTGTCGTTTAGTTGACAGAAGGCTGATTATTTTGAGAGCTACTGTACTGGTTAGTTAAATCATATCAAGTGTTGTGATGAAAGCCAATGTTTGTAAGTTGATCAGTTGCAGATGGATTGTTTTATGTGTGCTTTAGGTTTCTGATCATTGATTGATTGATATGGTTAGCTGTAGGCCTGTCACGATAACACCTTTTAGTCGTGCGATATATTGCCCCAGAAATAATCGCGATAAGCGATATTATTGTCATTTTAAAGACCATTTTATGCCACTGAATATATAATCATAATGGAACAGCATAATAATGCAAGAAGGCCTACACACTTCCAAATGACAACAAACGTTTAATTTCTAAGAATATTTAGATAATAATCAAATAATTAGATACCTGAATAAATAATAAATAAACATTTTCTAACAAAAAGTGCAAAGTAACAAGTAGAAAAAAAGAAAACTGCACAAATAACTTGTATGGAGATTTTTCCATCTACAGATTTTTCCCGGACCTTCATTACTCTGCAAATTAAGCGTGCACACTATTGCTGAAAAACACAATCACTACTTAGCAGTCAGATAAAACAAGACCATTTTTTTTGTAGAAGCATTTTTTAAATGTGAACTAGCACCGACTACACCGTGTTATGTACGAGAAGCTGCAAAAGACACAGGAGCAAGTGGAATGCACAAAACATGATGACATAAATTTTTAAGTAAATATAATGGGCGATATATTGCGTCACCAAAAATGATTGCGGTCATGTACATATGTTGCGCGATAAGTCGATATATTGCTAATTGCAACAGGCCTAGTTAGCTGTTACAGAAGGCCTGTTAATATGATACTACTGGTTAGTGCTATTATCTAATTATTGTAAATAGTATTAAATTGATCTTATGATCTGTGTTCTGTGATAATAAATTGGTGGGATTTTGAAGTCTGATAACGTAGTTGGCTGTTACTGAAGGCTGATTGATATGAGATTACCTGGTTAGTTTTACTGACTGATTAGAAGATCTGTTTTATACATCAGTCGAGTTGCTGTATAAGCTGGTCTAATTCTATTGATCTGTGGTTTTGGCATGTGGTTTGATTTCTTGACTGTAACTGAAGACTGGTTGTAATGAGATCAGCTGATTAATTTTGGAAATGATTGTGAGTAATGTCAGATTAAAATCAGACTTTGATGCTTATATGGAGATTAACTAAAGTTATAAATTAAAACCATTAAAACGCACACACATTTTTGTTACTTGAAGTTGAAATATAATATAAAATAAATATATGAGCCTTATACTTATTTCAGTTAGTTGCCAAGGCAATATATACTAAAATAACTCCAACTAAAACAGAAAACAATAAATACAAATTATGTAGACGTAAAAAAAAAAGAAAACTAAATGGACTATCAAATATTTTATAATATTAATAAAAACTGTAATAGCGTCTCAATTCTACTAAGATAACACTGGTGTCTCTAGTGGTTTTTGGTTGTTTAACATGCAGCCTGTGCTAATGAAAGTCACGCTCTCTGGCTCTACAACTTTCTGCTGACTCTCGTAATAAATGAAGCTAGTACAGTTGGAGGATGATGATATCATTTGTAAAACTGCTTTAATTCACTGTCAGCTGACCCAGGACACGTCAGGATTTCATCTGAAACCACAGATCTGTTTCGTTCATCAGTTTCACACATACTATCATCTGTAGCTGTCAGGAAATACCAGGCCAGAGATCTTTCTGCACATGCTGCTGCTCCTTGTATGAGGTTTGAGAGGGGCGCAGGGAAGAGAATGGATGGAGTCACAAAGCTCTTTTGCTTGTCTCTTCATCGTTCTGTGGTGTTATTATCCTGCTGTTATTGTGCGGAGCCTCTAGAAAGAGCCCAAACAGGCCAGAGCACTGCAGGTCAGCCGGAGGTCATGATACACAGGACCAGACAGAATCTGCAGTATAATTAAAGACATTCGGCAGAATTCATTTGTGGTGATTTGTGAAAAAATGTGTTAAATGTACATGTTTATTTGTACTTTTATTTGCTGTGAGTACAGTTTAGGGCTGTGCGATATGGACAAAAAAACCTATCGCGATTTCTTTGATCAATTTTGCAATTTTGACACACACAGACATGCTTTACAGTCATAAATGCATTCAGTGTGAATTTGAAACATATTTCCAAAAGAAAACCTATTAGAGCTTTACCAAAAGCTGTAACATGTCTCTAGAACAGACATAAGGCAAAATAATCACTAAGTAAAGGTGTAACAAAATGTCTCTAGAATAGACATATGGCAGAAAAGAAAGAGAAAAATCCAGTGTCCAGGGATTTTTTTTGCCATGCATTGGTCATAGAGCTCTTTGTGGCGTTGCCTCAGATGTTGAACTAGATTTGTTGCGTCATGTTCACACGTACTCCGTCTGCAGTGCGTATACAGTACGTGTATGCGGTGCAGAAGCAGCACGGACTCATTTTGCTTTCACACAGGACACGTTTGCAGTCCGCTCCTGATCCACAAACACAACATTTATCCATTATTTTGATTTCAAATCCAAATGTTGTTTCTGAAAATGCTTTTTCAGCATTGTGATTCTCTTTTATCACAGTACAGTAATACAATCTTTCATAGACATATTCACGTTTAAACTCAATAAATATAACTTTGTTTAACTACCACCACGAGTGCCATCTATTATTGCCTTGTTTATCTAAAAGTGCATTTTTCTTTGTTTTAAATCTAGCCAAAAAGCCATGTGTTGACTGTGAAACAGTAGACTTAATTATATGTATTTATGGTGTAATTACTAAATTTCCGTGCCAATCCATGTTATTTTTTACTGCGAATAATGCACTGTCACTTTCAGCACGTGCAGCACAGCAGAAATAGATTCCGTGCGGAAACGATCGCAGCATGACTGCTGCAGACGCACCTCCCCTGGAGCACACTGCCGGACCGCAATCGCGTGCAGTGTGAACGCTCTGATCCGTTAACATGGGCGCGGAAAAAATACACACCACAGACGGAGTGTGTGAACCTGGCGTTACGTTTGTATGCGGAAAATCGTGCTATAAAGCGATTTAGAAATCGCGATTTTATGACTATTTCGATTAATCGCACAGCCCTAATACAGTGTCTCAGTTGATTGAGTGGGTGGTGTTAAACTGTTCTGACCTCTGTTTTCAGGATTACATCTGTCCACGGTGTGAGTCCGGCTTCATCGAGGAGTTGCCTGAAGAGAGAAGGTAAAGTACTGACCTGCTGCTGTGGATTTGGAGAAGTGGAGAAAACTCAAACATAACGTTATGTTTTTGCCAAAACTTGTTTCTCTGGTTGGGATTCCACACATCAGGAAATCTGTTTGCTACATTGATTTCCTCAACAGGATGAAGACAGTTCAGCTCTAAACACTGTCTGTGAATGATTTTTACAAGCATTAGAAACAGAAAAAAATTAATGTGAAGATTTGAACTTTTCTATCACTGAATATACATTTGCCTTTTTTTTTTTTCTTCACTTTTTCTTTCTTTTTTTTTTTTTTCCAGTTCAGAGAATGGGTCCACATCTACAGCCTCTAATGATCAGAATCGGCCCTCGTTTGAGGTGAGCTGTCATCCACTGTATCATTGTAATTGCTTTTGGCTGCTGAGTTCACTTGGCATGCAAACTTTGGTCCATATATATTGCGTAAAGTGTGAGATTTCTGGCCCACAATGCAAACTTTGACACTATGCATTTAACAGATGCTCTTATCCAGGGCAGCATACAGATTTAGACTATGGTTAATAGATGGTAAGCATGCAAATCATAAATTGTTGAAAGCAGTATAGAATATAGATATTCTCCCAGGCCTCCAGTATTGCATAGAAAACCACAGACGCCAGATTAAGAAAATCATGTGTGAAACGACTGGCTGATTGAAGCTCACGAAAGCTTTACCTCTCACCCATCAGAATGTGGACCAGCACTTGTTTACGTTCCCGCATGGTTACAGCCAGTTTGCTCTGGGGATCTTCGATGAGGGCTTTGACTTCAGAGCGGGTTTGCCAGCGGAAGATAACCGTGACGCAGAGAACCGCAGAGAGCGGGAGATGGCCTCACGACAGCGCTACGGGGCCAGACAGCCACGGGGACGACACGTTCCCCGGAGACAAGGAGTGCGGCATGAGGGTGTACCCACTTTAGAAGGGTAAGAATTCAGCAGATGGCACTGTACTGCAGATTTATTCAGCCGGGTTTGCACTCTGAATTATTGAACTTAAAAAAAAAAAAATTTTAATTGAAGATTTATGTATTCTGGATTCCCACTATAATGGAAAGGAATCAGGAATTTTTAAGGAGTTTAAAAATGTGATTTCCAGGTCTAAAAATGTCAAGATAATCAATAATAATAATAAAAAAAGATTATATATATTTATAAAATATGTATACAAAAGCTATTTAGTCGATATAATAAAAAAAATTATAAATAATAAATGGCTGCATGAGTGCTGCCGGCACTGGGGAGCTACAGTTCATTGAGGGAACCATGAATGCCAACATGTACTGTGACATACTGAAGCAGAGCATGATCCCCTCCCTTCGGAGACTGGGCCGCAGGGCAGTATTCCAACATGATAACGACCCCAAACACACCTCCAAGACGACCGCTGCCTTGCTAAAGAAGCTGAGGGTAAAGGTGATGGATTGGCCAAGCATGGGCATCCTCAAACAGAAGGTGGAGGAGCGCAAGGTCTCTAACATCCACCAGCTCCGTGATGTCGTCATGGAGGAGTGGAAGAGGACTCCAGTGGCAACCTGTGAAGCTCTGGTGAACTCCATGCCCAAGAGGGTTAAAGCAGTGCTGGAAAATAATGGTGGCCACACAAAATATTGATATTGCCCAATTTGGACATTTTCATTTAGGGGTGTACTCACTTTCGTGGCCAGCGGTTTAGACATTAATGGCTGTGTGTTGAGTTATTTTGAGGGGACCGCAAATTGACACTGTTATACAAGCTGTACACTCACTACTTTACATTGTAGCAAAGTGTCATTTCTTCAGTGTTGTCACATGAAAAGATATAATAAAATGTGAGGGGTGTACTCACTTCTGTGAGATAATGTGTGCATATATATATATATATAATCTTTTTTTCTTCCCTAGTTATTCTCAGCTCATTATAAAATGTTCAAATATTTTTAAAACCTTACCTAGTAATCAACCTCAGAAAATTCATTGGTCAAGGGTGTGGGGAACTATTTCATGCTATGGGCCATTACTGTAGACCAGAGGTGCCCAAACATTTTAATACGAAGGGCCAAAAATGAAACTTGCCATGTGCCAAAAGTAAATATTTCATTATATGCAACTAAATTATATTGATATGTTTACAATTTAAATAATAATAATAAAAAATACAATAAAAAATTTTTTTAGATTATTTTTAATAAAATTCACTTGTGTGAACTTTATATGAAAATAAAACTACAACTTTTTTTCAATGCAAAAATAAAAATATATTATAAATATAAAATTTATTAAAGGGGTCATATGACGTTGCTAAAAAGAACATTATTTTGTGTATTTGGTGTAATGAAATGTGTTTATGTGGTTTAAGGTTCAAAAAACACATAATTTTCCACATACTGTACATTATTGTTTCTCCTCTATGCCCCGCCTTTCTGAAACGCATCGATTTTTACAAAGCTCATCGTTCTGAAAAGCGAGGTGTGCTCTGATTGGCCAGCTATCCAGTGCGTTGTGATTGGCTGAATTCCTCAAGCGTGAGACGGAAATGTTTCGCCCCTTACCATGCTGTGATGCCGTTGTCCCGGCGCGATGAGACAAAACCAATAAAACCCATTACAAACGAGGCATTTGTTGCATCCAGTGGGGACATAATTACTGATTATAATGACTTATACTGTCTTTTTACGGGTTGCGTTGCGTATCGCGCCGCGTAAACTAGGGCTGGACCAGAATATTCCATTATTCGTTCGATGGGTTGGCATTCGATTTTCAATTTTGAGATTAGAATAATCTTTTCTTTTCTTTTTTTAAACACCTGGCATTAGGGCTGAACGATTAATTGCATTTGCGATAATATCGCGATATGAAAAATTTTGATTTTTCAATCGCAGAGGCTGCGATTACACGGTCACGTGACAGGCGAGAGTAAAGAGGTGTGTTCGACTTGAAGATCAGATCGGTGTATGACATCAAAGTACGGCGAGCAAGAGAAAGCATAAGGAGACGTCCGCGCTCTCTTATAGCTCTCTCAATACTTTGATGACACACCCTTCGGTCTAAGCAGCGCTAAAAGAACATTTATGTTTAATCTATCTAATAGTGTGTTGGTCATACTATACAATGATTTATAGCTTGTCTTTGTTGAATAATACAGAACATAAAGAGCTTTAAAAAAAATAATTGCGTATTAAATCGCAATATTGGTAAAAAAAAATCGCAATTTGATTATTTTTCAAAATCATTCAGCCCTACCTGGCATCCCCCGCAAAACGGTTCTCATTCGCGCTTGAATATGAATCGCCCATGAGTGAACGTCATGAACATCATGATTCAGTTCATCTGGAAGAGAAGACAAAAATGCCGAAGACCTCAGCTGTGTGGGAGCACTTTAACTTGAGTGAGGACAAGACAAAGGCAGTGTGCCAAATATGCGATTTGAAACTGGCCTACCACAACAGCACATCAAATTTTAAAAATCTGTAAAAGTTCTGTAAGTAGTATGCCTATAGTATATTGTTGGTGTAAAAAATTAGCTGCTTTTATCCGCCATGTTAATCAGTAATTTTACACATGATAAAAACGTGCACTTAATTTGCTTGGAAAATACTTGCGAATATAGTCATAAAAAAACCTACAGTAGCCCAGCCACCATCGCTTTGATTTTTTTTATAGTAATAAAAAGCATTTAGTTCAGTAAAAGAACAGACACTACAATTAAAAACTGAACGCGGATGCTCAATGCAGCGTGCCGAACGACAGTCGCATCACAGATCAGATTTAATTTCTCCAGTGAGGAGAGTGAGTCGAGCGGACTGACAAGAAGAGTGGGGTGAGACAGACAAGATGATGGCAGATGATTTAGTTTCGAAACGAACTGCAAAAGCGCCTGTTTGGCAGTATTTTGTAGCTGCTTTTATCCGCCATGTTAATCAGTAATTTTACACATGATAAAAACGTGCACTTAATTTGCTTGGAAAATACTTGCGAATATAGTCATAAAAAAACCTACAGTAGCCCAGCCACCATCGCTTTGATTTTTTTTATAGTAATAAAAAGCATTTAGTTCAGTAAAAGAACAGACACTACAATTAAAAACTGATATTGGTAAAAAAAAATCGCAATTTGATTATTTTTCAAAATCATTCAGCCCTACCTGGCATCCCCCGCAAAACGGTTCTCATTCGCGCTTGAATATGAATCGCCCATGAGTGAACGTCATGAACATCATGATTCAGTTCATCTGGAAGAGAAGACAAAAATGCCGAAGACCTCAGCTGTGTGGGAGCACTTTAACTTGAGTGAGGACAAGACAAAGGCAGTGTGCCAAATATGCGATTTGAAACTGGCCTACCACAACAGCACATCAAATTTGAAAAATCTGTAAAAATTCTGTAAGTAGTATGCCTATAGTATATTGTTGGTGTAAAAAATTAGCTGCTTTTGAGACAGACAAGATGATGGCAGATGATTTAGTTTCGAAACGAACTGCAAAAGCGCCTGTTTGGCAGTATTTTGGATTTTGAAAAGCCTGTTGACTTTTGCCGTTTATCTAAGGTGATTTTGGAAGTTTTTGTAAACATTTGTTTCTTATTTAATTGGTTCCACAGTGTTTGCTGATTTTTACTTTATTTAAGCTTTGTTTAATTTATTTATTTTATTTGACATCAAGGTGTATGCCGTGCCTCCAAGGTTTCTTATTTGTTTTGCTAATAAATGTTCTATGTTTCTTATTTATTTGGTTATATATTATAGGCTACATGTTTACTTATTTCCAGTTTATTAAACTTTATGCAAGTTATTTTATATTAGGCATAGCCTGCCTTATAGCATGGTGTATTTTTATTCGTTTTGTTAATAAAAGTTCTATGTTTTATATATAGGCTAAAGTGAGTTTGACGTAGTATTTTGTTGTTGCATTCGAGCAATTGATGCCGAATTGCTGCTAATTCGAAAGTGAAAGTAAAATGCGCACAGCGCTTTTAAGCTATTTAAAAGCGAAGGAAAAGAGGGAAAATTCAAACGAACTGCAAAAGCGCCTGTTTGGCAGTATTTTGGATTTTGAAAAACCTGTTGACTTTTGCCGTTTATCTAAGGTGATTTTGGAAGTTTTTGTAAACATTCGTTTCTTATTTAATTGGTTCCACGGTGTTTGCTGATTTTTACTTTATTTAAGCTTTGTTTAATTAATTTATTTTATTTTACATCAAGGTGTATGCCGTACCTCCAAGCTTTCTTATTCGTTTTGCTAATAAATGTTCTACGTTTCTTATTTATTTGGTTATATATTATAGGCTACATGTTTACTTATTTCCAGTTTATTAAACTTTATGCAAGTTATTTTATATTAGGCATAGCCTGCCTTATAGCATGGTGTATTTTTATTCGTTTTGTTAATAAAAGTTCTATGTTTTATATATAGGCTAAAGTGAGTTTGACGTAGTATTTTGTTGTTGCATTCGAGCAATTGACGCCGAACTGCCGCTAAGTGAAAGTAAAATGCGCACGGCGCTTTTAAGCTATTTAAAAGCAAAGGAAAGCGAGGAAAAGAGGGAAAATTCAAACAAACAATTGCTTTACGCAGAATTGCCGCTAATTGAAAGTGAAAGTAAAATATGCACGCCACTTTTACAAGCTATTTAAAAGTGAAGGAAAGCGAAGAAAAGAGGGAATGCCCCACCCCCGCGGTGATACCTGTATTATCCGTGTTGTCACACGTCGATTAACCGGTGGGAAGCTTCGAAGCTCAAAAAATGGTATTCGGACCAGCCCTAGCGTAAACATAAAACCATGTCTGCATTTGTGATCGGAGAAACGACAAACAACAAGCGCTACTCTACACTGCTCAAAACTCACGTTTGAATCATCAGTGGGAAATTCTTTAAATATGAATACGTACTTACAGTCTGTGAGTCAGAAGCGCCAGACTGTTGGAATTGCCCCACTTTATAGAAACAACCTTTGTGCACAGACACATTGTAGGCTACTGTCCCAGGTTCAGGAAACAGTCCTCCATAAAATGCGCGGCACACATCTGAATATTTGGGTTGAACTGTTGTGGAACAGTGTTGTAAATACAACTTAACCACTGATTTCTAGTTGAGTCCTCTTTTGAAAGACCAAACAAAGTTGTTTCGCTTTCACACAGCGTCTCCATTACATGGCGGTGGCGGCAGTACTACAGCGAGAATCAAAGTTACACCTTCTTTCTTTGCGGGAATTGCCCCACTTTATAGAAACAACCTTTGTGCACAGACACATTGTAGGCTACTCTCCCAGGTTCAGGAAACAGTCCTCCGTAATATGCGCTGCACACATCTGAATATTTGGGTTGAACTGTTCTGGAACAGTGTTGTAAATACAACTTAACCACTGATTTCTAGTTGAGTCCTCTTTTGAAAGACCAAACAAAGTTGTTTCGCTTTCACACAACGTCTCCACGACATGGCGGTGGCGGCAGTACTACAGCGAGAATCAAAGTTACGCCTTCTTTCTTTGCATATACATTTGGGTGGTATTATGCAAATCTTCCCACACAGTGACGTAGACATGTGGGCACGTGTTTAAACGAGGAGTTTTAGTCTTTGCAACTTCAGGGATCTTATCTATGCACGAACAGCTTGTAACACTCCAAAGAGAAAGGAAAATTTGAAATTGCATCATATGACCCCTTTAAAACCAAAATATACAGTAAATTCGAAAATAAGATATGCTTCAATAGCATGTTTTTTCTTATTTTTCCCCTACTTTTGTGATTTGGCACGCCGGCCAAATCGAAGGTCATCACGCAGGCCCTGGTTTGGGCATCTGCTGTACTAATAAAAAGTATGTTTATCAGTGTGTCGCTAGGTTTAAGGGTGGAATAAAATGTTTTTGTTATGTTTGAAAATGTTCATTTATTTTGTTTTCACAGAATCATTCAGCAGTTAGTTAATGGAATTATTGCTCCGACAGCTATGCCAAATGTGGCAATGGGGCCTTGGTGAGTCGCCAGTGAAATTTTCTGTCTTTACATAATTCAGTAACTCAGTCTATGACAAACCACAGCTGATCACTGGACTCTAAACTGCTGTCCTTACAGGGGAGTGCTGCACTCAAACCCAATGGACTATGCATGGGGTGCCAATGGATTAGATGCCATCATAACTCAGGTCTCAAGTGGCTTATTGCTTTATTTTATAACCACAAGAAATATGAAACTCTACAGAGCCTTGTGTTGCTATTACAAACCATTAAAAAAACAGTATAATCACATACTCACTTTTTTGTCCCTCTTGTCATCCTGTAGTTATTAAATCAGTTTGAAAATACGGGTCCCCCTCCGGCAGACAAAGAGAAGATTAAGAGTCTCCCTACGGTCCAGATAACACAGGAGCACGTGGGTAAGAAGACAGACGTCTGTTATAAGACCACATACTGCTGGAGCACAGCATCAGTGGATCTGGGTTTCATGTTTTAGCAGCGGTGCTTCAAACAGAGTGAATGTTGAGATATCTCACAGAGGGTTCTGTGTGCTGACAGCGTGATGTGCTTTAGCTTTCTAATTGTAACTGTTAGACGTCCCACACGGTGAACCCTCTCTGAAGCATTGCATCTCTAAATTCATCCACTTTTAAAGATTCATCACTGCAGCCATCAAAACACTGCCTTTGTAAAAGATTCACGCCTTCCAGTGCAAACTTCAGACCTGCTGTGAGCAGAGTTCCTGTATTTATGTCTCTTTTTTTGTGAGCAAAATAACACTTTTGTGCAATAAGATAGATATTAAAATTTAAACGAGGAGTTTTAGTCTTTGCAACTTCAGGGATCTTATCTGTGCACGAACAGCTTGTAACACTCCAAAGAGAAAGGAAAACTTGAAATTGCATCATATGACCCCTTTAAAACCAAAATATAAATTCGAAAATAAGATATGCTTCAATAGCATGTTTTTTCTTATTTTTCCCCTACTTTTGTGATTTGGCACGCCGGCCAAATCGAAGGTCATCACGCAGGCCCTGGTTTGGGCATCTGCTGTACACAAAAAAAAAGTATGTTTATCAGTGTGTCGCTAGGTTTAAGGGTGGAATAAAATGTTTTTGTTATGTTTGAAAATGTTCATTTATTTTGTTTTCACAGAATCATTCAGCAGTTAGTTAATGGAATTATTGCTCCGACAGCTATGCCAAATGTGGCAATGGGGCCTTGGTGAGTCGCCAGTGAAATTTTCTGTCTTTACATAATTCAGTAACTCAGTCTATGACAAACCACAGCTGATCACTGGACTCTAAACTGCTGTCCTTACAGGGGAGTGCTGCACTCAAACCCAATGGACTATGCATGGGGTGCCAATGGATTAGATGCCATCATAACTCAGGTCTCAAGTGGCTTATTGCTTTATTTTATAACCACAAGAAATATGAAACTCTACAGAGCCTTGTGTTGCTATTACAAACCATTAAAAAAACAGTATAATCACATACTCACTTTTTTGTCCCTCTTGTCATCCTGTAGTTATTAAATCAGTTTGAAAATACGGGTCCCCCTCCGGCAGACAAAGAGAAGATTAAGAGTCTCCCTACGGTCCAGATAACACAGGAGCATGTGGGTAAGAAGACAGACGTCTGTTATAAGACCACATACTGCTGGAGCACAGCATCAGTGGATCTGGGTTTCATGTTTTAGCAGCGGTGCTTCAAACAGAGTGAATGTTGAGATATCTCACAGAGGGTTCTGTGTGCTGACAGCGTGATGTGCTTTAGCTTTCTAATTGTAACTGTTAGACGTCCCACACGGTGAACCCTCTCTGAAGCATTGCATCTCTAAATTCATCCACTTTTAAAGATTCATCACTGCAGCCATCAAAACACTGCCTTTGTAAAAGATTCACGCCTTCCAGTGCAAACTTCAGACCTGCTGTGAGCAGAGTTCCTGTATTTATGTCTCTTTTTTTGTGAGCAAAATAACACTTTTGTGCAATAAGATAGATATTAAAAATATGTAATATGTGACCCTGGACCACAAAACCAGTCATAAGTGTTCATTTTAAATGAAATTGAGATTTATACATCACCTGAAAGCTGAGCTTTCCATTGATGTATGGTTTGTTATGATAGGTCAACATTTGGCCAAGATACGACTATTTGAAAATCTGAAATCTGAGGGTGCAAAAAAAAAAATCTAAATATTGAGAAAATCACCTTTAATTAAAGTTGTCTAAATGAAGTTCTTAGCAATGCATATTACTAATCAAAAATTAAGTTTTGATATATTTACAGTAGGAAATGTACAAAATATCTTCATGGAACATGATCTTTACTTAATATCCTAATGATTTTTGGCATAAAAGAAAAATCGATAATTTTGACCCATACAATGTGTTTTTGGCTATTGCTACAAATATACCCCAGCGACTTAACATATAATGTAAACACACACACACACACACACACACATACACACACAGTGTTTATAGATAATAGGTAAATGTTGTTCTATTCCAAGAAGAATCCTGAAAAATAAAGTGCATCACAGATTCCACAAAAATATGAAGCAGCACAACTGTTTTTGACATTGATAAGATATGTTTAACTCAGCATATTAGAATGATTTGTGAAGGATAATGTGACACTTAAGACTGGAGTAATGATGCTGAAAATACAGCTTTGCATCACAGGAATAAATGACATTTTAACATATTCACATAGAAAACAGTTGTTTTATATTGTAATAATATTTCACAATATTACTGTATTTACTGTATTTTTGATCAAATAATTGCTGCCTTGGTGAGCAGAAGAGACTTTTTCTTTTCTTTTTTCAAAAGCATGAGAAATCTTACTGACCCCAAACATTTGAATGGTTTTATATATATATATATATATATATATATATATAACAAATAACACCTACACAATACTGTTCAATAAATAATTTGCCCAATTACAGTTGGCTAGTAATTCAAACAACCTACAGATTGGTCAACTTTGAAAATATGTACTGTATATTTTCACATTCTCAATAACAGTGCAGCCAGTTTCAACTCGCCATCTTCATTGTGATATAATGTTTGATGCGGGATGTTGATGCTTCTTATTTCTGACGTGTGTGTGTTTTTGTGGTTCAGGTGCTGGTCTAGAGTGTCCTGTCTGTAAAGAAGACTACAGCGCAGGAGAGAACGTTAGACAACTTCCTTGCAATCATCTCTTTCATAACGACTGTGTAGTTCCCTGGCTCGAGCAGGTGTGTTTCTCTTCTGTTTTAATTCATTTCTCCATACTTCATCATCTAAACTCAAAATATCGACAACTTTTGACCGTGTATATTCGGCCGTTAATGAGTGATCCAGATAAAGGCCGTTTCAATTTGTAGTTTGTGACATTAATTTCATGGCTCATGGTTCTGTACAGAAAGGCAGGAGTTTGCTAATTGAATTTGTGCTAATAACTGCTGCTGATGTGTTTGGGTTCACCGTGTTATACAGCACCTTTGAACTCGGTTACTTTTTCTAATGAATATGCATGTGTTGCAATCAAAAAGTACTTGTGTAAAAGTAATACGGCAAGCTTTCAGAAATATGCTCTTGTCAAAATCAGACACTTCTAACTTTGTTAATTATAACTTGATGACAAGAAAATGAAGAGGATGGGAATAAAGAGCTGAAGTTAGTCATTGCTCAGTGAGGGATTGTTAGCGCACGTCAACCTAAAGTTCAGGCTCATTTTTTGTAACTATTCAAATGTTAATATTATAACTTTTTAAATATTATCATCTAAATTTTTATATATTATTCGCATTACCACTGTATGACCTAAAATCCATCGCAGATGCTTACAAATGTTTGTGCTGCTCTTTTGAAACTAACAATAATTTATGGAAAAAAACTGAACTGAAACGTTTTAATTAAATGAATATTTTTTAATTATGTTTTTTCATTGTAGATGTTTGTGCAGCATTCAGGGGCATGACAAAAATGTTATCAAGTTCACTTCTTTGTTCACTTTATATTACAAAATAAATCTAACAACGAATTCCCGTTTTTTGTTTAATAATATGTCTAACATATTAAGATTTAAAGACAAAATTGGTTCAGTAAAATGTTTGAATGTTTTTGAAAGTATGCTCAAGGCATTTATTTGATCAAAAATACAATAAAACTGTAATATTGTGAAATATTATTGTGATTTAAATATTTTCTATTTGAGTATATGTTAATGTAATTTATTTCTGATTATTACTCCAGTCTTCAATGTCACATGATCCTTCAGAAACAGGGTTGTTAGTTAAAACTTAAACTAAAATCATAATAACAATTTTTGTTACTTGAAATAAATTAAACTTTAACTAAAATAAGATAAAATAAACTTCTTTAATTTAAGCTGGTTGCCAAGGCAACATTTGTCATTTTCATTTAGTTTGACTTTATGGAGAAAAATAACTAAATGAAGTTGAATAAACTATAAAGACGTTTAAAATTAAAATATCATATAAATATAAAAAAAAGTTTATATTTTTAAAAATGACAAGCACAACAAAATTACTAAAATTAAATTAATACAATTCAAAATATTAATAAAAACTACTCGTATCTTGATGAAACCATCATTCTAAAATGCTGCTTTGCTGCTCAAGAAACATTTCTTATTATCAACATTATCAATGTTTTTTGCAGAAACTATGATGCATTTTTGTCTTTGTATTAGGGCTGTGCGATATGGACAAAAAAAACCTATCGCGATTTCTTTTATCAATTTTGCGATTTCGATTTTAATCACAATTTTGACACACACAGACATGCTTTACAGTCATAAATGCATTCAGTGTGAATTTGAAACATATTTCCAAAAGAAAACCTATTAGAGCTTTATCAAAAAGCTGTAACATGTCTCTAGAACAGACATAAGGCAAAATAATCACTAAGTAAAGGTGTAACAAAAGAAATGTCAGAAAATGGCAGAAAATAAAGAGAAAAATCCCGTGTCCAGGGATTTTTTTTGCCATGCATTGGTCATAGAGCTCTTTGTGGCGTTGCCTCAGATGTTGAACTAGATTTGTTGCGTCATGTTCACACGTACTCCGTCTGCAGTGCGTATACAGTACGTGTATGCGGTGCAGAAGCAGCACGGACTCATTTTGCTTTCACACAGGACGCGTTTGCAGTCCGCTCCTGATCCACAAACACAACATTTATCCATTATTTTGATTTCAAATCCAAATGTTGTTTCTGAAAATGCTTTTTCAGCATTGTGATTCTCTTTTATCACAGTACAGTAATACAATCTTTCATAGACATATTCACGTTTAAACTCAATAAATATAACTTTGTTTAACTACCACCACGAGTGCCATCTATTATTGCCTTGTTTATCTAAAAGTGCATTTTTCTTTGTTTTAAATCTAGCCAAAAAGCCTGGGAAACTGGGAAACAGTAGACTATAATTATATGCATTTATGGTGTAATTACTAAATTTCCGTGCCAATCCATGTTATTTTTTACTGCGAATAATGCACTGTCACTTTCAGCGCGTGCAGCACAGCAGAAATAGATTCCGTGCGGAAACGATCGCAGCATGACTGCTGCAGACGCACCACTCCTGGAGCGCACTGCCGGACCGCAATCGTGTGCAGTGTGAACGCTCTGATCTGTTAAGATAGGCGCGGAAAAAATACACACCACAGACGGAGTGTGTGAACCTGGCGTTACGTTTGTATGCCCGCCCGGTCTGTTCTGTTCTGTTCTCGTGCTCCATTTAGGTGCGCTGCATTCTGATTGGTTCAGATAGCATACTGCTGCGGGAGGTCGGGGGCGCAGAAAATCGTGCTATAAAGCGATTTCGAAATCGCACGCTCAAATCGCGATTTTATTAAGATTAATCGCACAGTCCTACTTTGTATATAAAGTTAAGAACAGCGTTACATGTTTTGTCTGTGTGTTTCCCAGCATGACACGTGTCCAGTGTGCAGGAAGAGTTTGAGCGGGCAGAACACAGCCACAGATCCACCCGGCCTATCAGGGATGAACTTCACCCCCTCTTCCTCCTCCTCTTCCTCCTCCAGCTCTCCGAGCAACGAGAATGCCACCAATAACTCGTAAGAGCTCAGCCCACATCCTGAACACATCATCATCATCATCATCATCATCATCTCAGTTGGCCCGGTCAACACCAAACCCCCCCCACCACTGGAGACTGATCTGTGACACGGTGGAACCAGCGCTGAACCTGACACACACAGACAGCGCAGAGAGCACGCCAAACCCCCGAGAGAACAATACACTCTTCTATTGCTTCAGACAGCGTTTCCTTGCTTTTTTTTTTACACTGCTGAACTTTAGAGCGATCATTCCTCACCTGTCCGCGTGACGTGCTTTTAATCAGCAGAAAGCGTGAGAAAAATGCTGAGGAAAAGAGAGAGATGAAGGAAAAGAGGAAGAGGATGTTACACAGCGATGCCGGTGCCAGATCTGAAGACACACCGAGCTGAACTGCGTTTTAGAAGCAGACTTTGTGTCTCTCCAGAGGGACGCGGTCAAACCGAACCTTTTGTTTTTTATCCTTTGATTTTTATTTTACGGATAAAAGTGGCTGATATGTGAACGTGAGTATGTGTGAATCTCACACAACCGGTCAAGGTCACGTTTCACCCCAAAATCAGAAGAAAAAAGAATCTGTGTATTATGCTAAACGCCTGTTTTAGAACCACCAATAACTTTTTGAATAACATTTTGAAATTTTACAGTTTGCCGTAATGCAAAAAATCTGATTCTCATTACTGTAATACGAAAAAATATGATTAAATTCATGTTTATCGATTGTATTGTTAGTTGTACTGCCTTTAATTTGATTAATCATTTTATTACAGTATTTTATATTGTAATACTACATTACAGAATGCATTATTGTAAATAATTGTCATGAAATATAGTCATTTTAGGCTTAATACATTTTTATTTTCTTTTGATGTTGGGGTTAAATAAAACCTGGACGTGTTTTTTTTTTTGTGATTCACCCATATATATGAAACATATTTATTGAAGCAAAAAATAAGAGCTGCGTCATATTGTGAAAAGCCAAGCGATCCAAGAACATCTGTGACTGAGGAAAACACTGAGTGCAGGCTTCTCTCCTAATATTTATTTGCACAGCGAAGGTTATTTAGAACATTGAACAAACAGAAAAGTGTGAATGTTTTTTGGCAACATTTCATATGATTTTCTACATTTAGCATCGTCCTTAAAACTCATGAGAGAAGTAGATTTTCTCTCTTTCACCCTGCATTTTTTGGGCCTTTATCCAAACGGCACACGGCCCGAGAAGGTGAGAAAAGCTCTCTCTTGCTTTCTCTCACTCTTTTTTTTTTTTTCTTTTATATTTTTAAATCTCACATTCAGTTGTCTTCTCTCAGTCTGCCACACATATTCAGTGACTTTCAGTTCAAGGCAACTTTTTAAAAAAACTTATTTTAAGTTAAATGGTTTGTTTTTTGTAAATCATCATAAAGGAGAAGAACAAATGAATGTATGTATCACTGCTGATGATGAAATATTTCATATAAACTCATTTGTCTCTCTACAGATCACGAACACAAACTAACACCACAGTTTCTGTGTTTCTTCCAATTCTTTATTCTAATAGACACTTTCAAAGGTCAGTGCTGAAAATTAGAAATAGTTTTTTTTCTATTTAATTTCAGTTAATAGTTATTTCAATTAACAAATTTATGTACATGGTTTTTAGTATTTATTATTGTAATTCTAATCTAACTGAAAATTAGAAATTAGTTCAAGTTTATTAATATTTTATTTCAGTAACATTAACTCTTTTTTTATTTTTTATTTTTTTTTTTTTTTTTTCCAAAGCAGCACTATATAACTTTTTCTGTGTTCAAAGTTTGCAAAATGTATATAATGAGCGAGTACATCATGAATTCATCCAAACCAAGTTTTTGTCTTATTCCGAATCACTACGGTACACTTATAATAAGTACTTATATTTGGACTATTGTAGCCTGGTCGGGTCGTCACCGCTGCGGAGTAACACATACCTGCGTGAATCACCAGAGACATAAACTTAGAGAAGTAGCTTTGGTTGGAAAGTTCTTCCGCGGGATGTGTGCAGTTCTGTTTATTAACTGCCAGAGCACCAAAAGCTACATAGTGCTGCTTTAATTGCTGCTTCAGGAATTAAAGCGTGTAAAATGAAAACTACATTATTTGAGTTTTGGTTACATAGTGATAAACAATTTTTTAAAAGTTGCAATATATACCTGCATATCAGTGTTGCAATTTATGTACATACATTTACATTAATTTAAAGAAAATAAATAGTAACCAAAATAAAATATAAACAAATTAATTTTTAATAAGTAAAATGATATTTGTATATACAGTTTATTTAAAATTTATAATAAGTCCTAAAAATATGCCTGAAAAACCATTAAACGTACTTCTTTCTAATTTTCAGTTAAAGTACTCAAATTAATATTTAAAATTGGAATAATAAATACTACAAATATATAATAGTGTACATTAATTTACATTAAGGAGCCATTATTTATTCAGTTTTGTTGATTTGCTGCTGCCTTTTTAAACTAACCGGTTACTGTCTGTTCCAATATAATATATGCTACTCCATTCTTCAACAGCCAAGAGCTGAATCTTGAGACCGATTCCTAAAACAATGTGCTGGTCATGTTCAGATCATCTGACGGCAGAAAGCTGCCCAGGTTCTGTCTCAGTGAAGTGTTGAGTTGTGTCTGATCTCCAGCCAGACTCCAGTAGCAGCTGCTAATTGCCATTATCTGCGAGAGTGACCGTCTGTTGCTGCAAACTCATTTTGAAGTGGATTTACTGTTGGCTATAAACCGCTCAAGCAGTCCCTGTACTGTGCTGCTGTGTGTTTTCAGACCGAGAGCTCTCTCTGCCCTCTTGCAGTGTGCTTTTAGTCGATGCACCAAACCAACCATGTATAGAGACTTGTGGGCTGTTTTGACTTGCTGCCTCGCTGCTGCTCTCATGCTTCACTCTTAAAAAGAAAGGTTCCCGCGGAGGGGTTTTCATAGTGATGCCACAGAAGAATTCACCTTTCAGTGATCAGTTCCTAACATTTGAATAGAATAAAGAATTGTTTTCTGCTATAAAGGAGCTTTTGTGGAGTGGAAAGATTCCATAATGGTAAAGGTTCTTCATGGAACCATCGACGCTAATAAACAAGCTTCATTTTTAAGTGTTGATGCACTGCGATAAAAACATATTCCTGTAAAACATCTTCTGGATCAGGCACTAAATGATCTAAGTTTCAAGTATGCACTAAACAAATACATCTTCAGTGTTATTTTAGTAGTATTTATATAATATATCATTTATTAATGTTTTCTTTTCTTTTTGTATTTTCCGTTTTTATTTTAGTTTTTGTAATTTCTCCTTTTCTATATTTCCATTACTGTTTTTATTGAGGTTTAGAAATGTTAGTACTTCAGTGGTACTTTATTTAGTTGCCAAAGCAACATTTCTAATTTCCGTAAGTTTTTCATCTGATTTTTAGATTTTCAGAGTTCATATTAATGTTAGTTTTTGTTTTGTTGTGCTTTTTTCATTTTTATTAGCTTTTTTTTTTTTCAAAAATGTTTCCATTAGATTTTATTTTTATTTCAGTTTTAGAAGTTTTAGTGCTTTAACCTAAACTACTTTTACTTAGTTGCCAAAGCAACATTTCTCATTTTCGTTTGTTTTTCATCTGATTTTTATATTTAATTTTATATAGTTTTTTATTTTGTTGCTTTTCATTTTTATTAGAATTTAAAAAAAATGTCCATTAGACTTTACTTTTATTTCAGTTTATTTTTTAGTCATTTTAGTAACTTAAAACTTATTTTAGTTAGTTGCCAAGGCAACATTTTCTTTAAGCTTTTCATCTAATATTTAAATTAATAAAATTATTAATAACTTAAATGAATTAGCCTTTATTGTTATATTTTAAGGTTTCATTTTAGTTTTAGTTAAACTTTTGGTAATTTTGTTTTGTGCTTTTGTCATTTTTAATACTTTGTTATTGTTATTTTTAATATAAATATTCCAACATAGCTTTAACTAATTTTTATTTCAGTCTAAGTTTAGTATTTCAGTTAGTTGCCAAGGTAACATTTCTTTATAATTTTTTATCTAATATTTATATTTGATTTCAGTTACCAAAAACAATTTAGCTGCTTTTCAAACACTCTTTCGTGGTTCAGTGTGTGATGCAGAATTCCCAGAGTCACGGAAACCCTGGGAATATTTTAGGGGACCTGGTTAGGACCTGTTATAGTGAATGTGTTTTTCCTGTTATGCTTAGAAATAAAATAAAACCTCTTAAACGCAATGCCTATAAAATGATTTAGAAAAATCCTTATCCAGTAATGATTCAGGTAACTGGTGTCCGTCGGTAAAAGCCTGTGGGGATCCTGTTGATCTCCTGAATCTGAAAAGCTTCCAAGATCGAGCCACAGATCTCCTGCTTTCTTGGAACTTGTCCTTTTATGCAAATGAATCCCAAAGCATCATCCTTAAATGTGTCATATACCAGGAAGTGAGTGCCGGCGTTCAGTTCTGCAGAGAGCGCGAGAGATTGATCCGGAGCTGCTCGGGTTAAACACTTCTAAAGTGGGAAGCAGAGCGTGTGGCTGGGAGCATGGCGACCCCGCTGACCTCCAGAGGTCAAGCGCTCCATCACTGAAGGGACGCGGCGTCCCAGCTCTCTCTCTCTCTCCCTCCGCCGGGTTGAGACAACCTCTCAATGTCATCTGTGCTGCGGGTCGCTCCGCCACACATCAGCGTCCGGCAACACAAGGTAAGATCTGAGCGTCTGCAGGGCTTCCTCGGCAATGACTGCAGTCTGCTGCTGTAGCTCAGCATCAATGATATTCGAGGAGGAAGATGACTTGCTGTTTGGAGGTGATGTGCTCAGGAAGATGCTTTCTGATTGTGGAAGCGGTCAAGAGCAAATGATCAGCTTTCTCTCGTGTTTGATCGATGTTCATGTCATGCATATGTCTGTTATGACAGCAGTGAACACTCAGTGAGTTATGATTCTTGCGTTGTTAACCCCCCC